CCTCAGAGGGCCGGACGACAGTGTGCGACGCTCCCGGGCCTTGCCGCTCTCGTCCCCCTCTGTCTCTTAGGGCGCGGATGACAGTGTGTGCCGTCTCCGGACCACACCACTCTCGTCCCCCTCTGTCGCCAGACCCCTGGCAGAGCAGACCCCCGTGGAACGCTGGTCCTTCCCTGGTCTCCTCTGTCAGGACGCGGAGCATGACCGTGCCCCCGCACTGGGCCGCTATGCCACCCACGCCTGGGCCGGTCACTCCGCTTCGCTGCCCCTCCGGGGGGACGTCTGTCGTTCAGATGTTTCCGCTGGTTCAGTTCTTGGGAGCTTGGTTAGAGCTTCCCTACCTGTCCCGCTGGGTCGCCCGAACTATCAGGCTCGGCTATGCGATCCAATTCGCACGGTCTCCTCCCCGCTTCAGGGGAGTCCGTTTATTTTGGTCGGTGGCAATGCCCCGATCATGAGAGCGGAGGTTGCCACCCTGCTGGCGAAGGGTGTAATCGAGACTGTCCCTCCAGCCGAAATGAGGTCAGGGTTTTACAGCCCGTACTTCATTGTCCCCAAGAAGACCGGTGGGTTACGGCCAATCCTGGATCTACGCGTCTTGAGCCGCTCCCTTCACAGGCTGCCGTTCAGGATGCTCACGACCAAACGCATTTTCGAATGCGTGCGGCCACAGGATTGGTTTGCAGCGATAGACCTGAAGGACGCCTACTTTCATGTCTCCCTTTTACCTCGACACAGACCGTTTCTTCGGTTTGCTTTCGAGGGGCAGGCATACCAGTACGCAGTTCTCCCATTCGGGTTGGCTCTGTATCCTCGCGTCTTTAAGAAGGTCGTCGAGGCAGCCCTTGTTTCCCTGCGCGAACACGGGGTTCGCATCCTGAATTACCTCGACGACTGGCTAATATTAGCTCACTCTCGAGTCCAGGTTTGCGAACACAGAGACCTAATGCTCCGGCACCTAGCCCGTCTGGGCCTTCGGGTCAACTGGGAGAAGAGCAAACTTTGCCCCGTGCAGAGGATCTCTTTTCTCGGTATGGAGATAGACTCGGTCGCCATGTCCGCGCAGCTTACGAGCGAGCGCGCACACTCACTGCTGACTTGTCTTCGACAGTTCGAGGGCAAGAGTGCGGTCCCACTGAAACTTTTTCAGAGGCTCCTGGGGCATATGGCATCCGCAGCCGCGGCAACGCCACTCGGATTGCTTCATATGAGACCGCTTCAGCTGTGGCTTCGCGATCGGGTCCCGAGGTGGGCATGGCATCGCGGCACGCTCAGAGTTCCAATAACTCCGACCTGCCGTCAGTCCTTCACCCCGTGGCGGAACCTCAGCTTTCTACGGGCCGGAGTTCCCCTAGAACGAGTTTCCAGGCATGTTGTTGTCTCCACAGATGCCTCTGCCACGGGCTGGGGCGCCATGTGCAATGGACATGCAGCCGCGGGCTCCTGGACAGGACCCCAGTGCCTCATGCATGTCAATTGCCTCGAGTTGCTGGCAGTACGCCTTGCCCTGCACCGCTTCCACGCGCTGCTCCAGGGTCAACACGTACTTGTCCGTTTGGACAATACCGCGACAGTAGCGTACATCAACCGTCAGGGTGGTCTACGCTCTCGCCGTATGTCGCAACTCGCACGCCACCTCCTCTTATGGAGTCAGAAGCACCTGAGGTCCCTTCGTGCTATTTACATTCCAGGAGTGCGGAACCTTGCAGCCGACGAGCTGTCACGGCTCCGGCCAACCTCTGGCGAATGGCGACTCCATCCCCAGTCGGTCCAGCTGATATGGGACCAGTTCGGGGACGCACAGATATATCTGTTTGCCTCCCACGACTCATCCCATTGCGCCCTGTATTACTCCCTGTCCGAGGGCACGCTCGGCACGGACGCACTGGCGCACAGCTGGCCGCAAGGCCTACGCAAATATGCGTTTCCCCCAGTGAGCCTTCTCGCACGGACTCTGTGCAAGATCAAGGAGGACGAGGAGCAGGTCATATTGGTCGCCCCATACTGGCCCACCAAGACCTGGTTCTCCGAACTGATACTCCTCGCGACAGCACCTCCTTGGCCAATTCCTCTGAGGAAGGACCTCCTTTCTCAGAGACGGGGCACCCTATGGCACCCTCGTCCCGATCTTTGGAGACTCCACGTGTGGCTCCTGGACGGGACGAGGCAGGTTTGAGTACCCTGCCACCTGCGGTGGCGGCTACCATCACTACCGCTAGAGCGTTGTCCACGAGACACGTCTACGCGTTGAAGTGGAACCTCTTCGTCAACTGGTGCTCTTCTCGGCGAGAAGACCCCAGGAGATGCTCGATCGGTGTCGTGCTTTCCTTTCTGCAAGACGGGCTGGAGCGAAGGCTGTCTCCCTCCACCCTGAAGGTGTATGTGGCCGCTATCGCCGCTTTTCACAATGCAGTTGAAGGTAAGTCTCTGGGAAAGCACGACCTGATCATCAGGTTCCTGAGAGGAGCGAGTAGACTGAATCCTCCTCGCCCTCCTCTCGTACCCTCTTGGGACCTCTCAGTGGTCTTATATGCCCTGCAGAGGGCTCCCTTTGAGCCTCTGCAATCAGTGGAGATTAAGTTCCTGTCAATGAAGACAGCGCTCCTGGTTGCACTGGCCTCCATCAAGAGGGTGGGGGATCTGCACGCACTCTCCGTTGACGAAGCGTGCCTGGAATTCGGGCCGGCCTGCTCTCACGTGATCCTGAGACCCCGGCCTGGATATGTGCCCAAGGTTCCCACCACTCCCTTCCGGGACCAGGTGGTGGACCTGCAAGCGCTGCCCCTGGAGGAGGCAGACCCAGCCTTGGCACTGCTCTGTCCAGTACGCGCCCTCCGTGCTTACGTAGACAGGACGCAGTGTTTCAGGACCTCAGACCAGCTCTTTGTCTGTTATGGTGGGAAGCTGAAGGGAAAGGCTCTCTCCAAGCAAAGGTTATCCCACTGGATAGTGGACACCATTGCTTTGGCATACCAGCAGCAAGGTCGACCGTGCCCCCTTGGTGTGACCGCCCACTCCACCCGGAGTGTGGCATCCTCTTGGGCTTTAGCGCGTGGCGCCTCGCTAACAGACATCTGCAGAGCTGCAGGCTGGGCGACACCCAACACTTTCGCCAGATTTTACAATCTCCGAGTGGAGCCAGTCTCCGCCCATGTACTGTCTTTTTCAAGCTAACATGGGAGCCGTTAGGTGTCTCGCTTGCTCGCCATTCCAATCCACGGACTGGATACGTGCGATATTTCCTCAGGTAGCCTTCCTCTCTGAAGCCCTGAGTTCCTCCAGCACTGTTGACGCTGGCGCCAGTGTCTATTGCCTGTGCGTCGGCTAGGTGCCTCCGTGTGCATGGATCCTCCTCTGAGTAACCCCCACATGTGTATTTCCACTGTAAGCCTCTTTGAGCATGTGTCTTTCCCTCGGCAAGCCACCTTGCCTCTCCTGGAGTTGAAAGTTGCCACCCCACGGGCTGGTCACTCCAGTGTTCCTCCATATGAAGCCCCCTCGGCCATATGTGTATTCTTAAGTCCTCCCTTTGGGTAGGCATGCTGCGGCATATCTCCCCTGAGATATGCTTCCCAGTGTACCTTGGTATTCCTGTGTTAAGTAGGACTCCTTCGTCCGTGCCTATACCACGACAGGGAGGGCAGACTTCGCAGGGCACTGGAAGACAGCTGTGAAGGTGGCGTGATTACACGGGGACCCCCATTCTCCGTCATCCGACGTAACTCGGAGTGACTACGAAAGGGAACGTCTCGGTTACGGATGTAACCCTCGTTCCCTGAGTAGGGAACGGAGACGTTACGTCTCCCTGCCACTTCCGCTGTACCGCTGGGTAGACGCCTGAGTTCAGTCTCGGCTCCTCAGCGAAGACATGATCTGCTGTTGCAGGTGTCTCTCCTTAAATACCCACGCGGTGGGGCGGAGATACATTATGCAAATTCCGCAGACCCATGGCATTTCATTGCCATAGGCTCGTTTTTTAATACTCGAAGATGATAGGCTTTCTGGCGAAACCCCCATTCTCCGTCATCCGACGTAACGTCTCCGTTCCCTACTCAGGGAACGAGGGTTACATCCGTAACCGAGACGTTTCATTGCGTCCCATATTTTTAGCGACCATCGGAGCCAGCTGATAAATTAAACTTTTGCCGAATCCTGTAGGAAGGACGGCAAACACATCTTTCCGATCGACAAATGCCTTTATTGCAGTTCTCTGTTCGTCTTTTAAAATTTATGCGCTGTCGATTTCTTCTAAAACAGACGCGATAGCGGAATCTATGCATCTCAGTTCTCCAGCTGCAGTCATCTTTGTTGTAAACCAGTTCAACCCAAGCGCTCTTTGATGACGTGAGGATTACGTAAATGCAGATCATCTGTCCATCAACGTATAAAGCCCGCCCTGGTAATTTGATTGGTCCGAACATTTTTTGACTGATCATAATTACTCCTCAATGGATCGAGTCCAGACTGAACTTCCCGACCAAAAATTGTTGTGGGCGGGGTTCGGGCTGGCAGCCAGGCTACATAAGGAGCGGAAAACGCAGCATGAGGTTCGAGTCTGGCATTTAGGCTATGCGTTAAACACGTGATGCGTTTAAATTGTGCTGGAATTTCTTTTGGGTAGACACCAGGCTACACCACATAGCCTTTAGCCTATCTCTTCTCAAATACTTCCTCGTCGTTTTAATGACTATTCAAAGAGTCTGTAATCTGCAATATAAGAATACATGGTCAAAACAAAAATTATTAAGAAGTTATTAAACACACAGAATGAGTATTTATTCATTTATTAAACTGAATAAATACTCATTCTGTGTGTTTAATAACTTCTTAATAATTTTATTTTGACCATGTATTCTCAAGCTTCATCTTTTTTGAATATGTGCTCATTTCCTTTTTATGAAATTGTTGTTCCTCTTTAGTTAGGTTCTTCCACCCCTTTTTATAACTAGCCTACATCTATTAGCTACTCATCTTCACTTTCATTTATTGCCTTGACTGTCCCACCTCATGCATCCTCCATATATACACCTGACAGGTTATAATGGACCAGAAATTCTGTATCAGATTATGCATATTTTGTGGTAAGATATTTACTATTTTCTTCTATATCTTTTATTACTTATTTGTTATTTTGTAAACCCCATTGCTACCTCAATAGCTGCCTATTTCCACTCTAAGCCTTCTTGTGTTGCAAGTCTTAAACCTTTTTGTTCCCTTTTGTGTGACTGAAAGCAGTGTGTGGCAATAAGATTGTAACTAGTTAGGCCTACATGATCTCATCAGGTAAAATTGGCTTCACATTCTCTTTATAGTCAAATTTGTTAATTTAAAGCTGTGTAAAATGCATTGCAATAATCATGTTGTACATGAATAGACGGACAAGTCGTTTAAAAAGAAAACTGTATCATTGTAACTAAGCTTAAAGCTCTTACAGTTTTAGTTTTACTATAGATTGTTGATTCATTGTTGATCAAATGAAATTATACATCTAATTTTAGGCAACGTCAAAAGTTCAAAACCTATAGTAGTAGTATATGTTATATCATGACCAGACATGCTATGGATGAAGATGTAAAAATGTCCTTTTAAGGCAAGAACAATTTGGAATAAGTGTGAACTTCCTTCTTTTTTATGCCCCTCTAATTCTGTCTCGTATGAGCTTTCTGCATCCACACATTGCACAGATTAAAAAAAAAACATCTATGAGAAAAGCACTGCAAAAACAACTCATAAATCCACATGACAGCTTTTCACATATTTATATATTTGTATTAAAAACAATTGAATCCGACCAAGCTAAAGCTTTTGTCAGGCACAATGACTACATTCATTTTGCATAATGCATTTGGCAGACGCTTTTATCCAAAGCGACTTACATTGCATTTCAAGGTACACATTTACATTCTTATCAGTTCTTATTCTTATCAGTTCTTATCATATTCACAGAGTAGCATTGAGTTATTTTCTTTTATGTTTAAAAATATTTTATACATGTTATATTATTACATAATTGCCTCTATTGGTGCAACACAGTGAAATTTCCATCAGCTAATGAAATTGTTACTACAGCATTATAGTATTTTAGCATGGCTGCAACGGCATATTTACCAATCAGTAAACAGGATTGAAAATATACATTTTAATTATGTCAATTTACAGTTACTAATTCAGTCTATTTTATCATTTCTGGACACTTTAGCATCTCAGTCAGTGATGGCTTTTAACATTGACCCCGTTTCCTGGAAAACCTTCACTGCACCTTCACCTTCACAGAGACAAAATGTTGCCTTTGGCTATAAGGTGATACAGAAAGACGCATTAAGGTGAGAGCAACATAACCACTGATAATGAAGACAAAATAACCTGTATGGTTTGAAAAGACATCAGTACTCACCACATTGCATAGGTTTCACCTCCAATGTTGATCAGCACTTAGTTGTGATGATGAGAAGCTTGTGGAGAGCAGTTTTATAAGCATAAAGACTCCTTTACTCTGTTCAGTAGCTTATTATGGCCACGAGCGGAACACTGGGACAGGAAAGACTGGCTGTTCAACATCAGTTAACAACCACAGTTGCTTTTGCTTTTACTTGGCCTTTAGGGGTAAATCTGAAATAGATGGTACTAGAATAGACGGACATGGAAAAATCTCAGATTTTTTAAGCTTTTGTGCTTCATTGCACATAGTGAATTATTTTACTGGTTATTGAAATGTTTATTTAAAATTTGTGTGACTTCTAAACAGTGGGCCAGTCCAAAAGTCCCATATGGTGTCTCTTTGAATGCAGCACCCCCTGTTGGCAATCACTGAATTTAGGGCGTTATAGATTGAGATATGCCATGCTTTAATGGGTTGTAGACAGAAAGAACCAGAAGCATACAGTACTGTAAATATACCTATGAAACCTGCACACATAGCCAGTCATACGTGGACTGTGTTAAAAATGGCAATCATATAACATTATTCCTACTATTTCTGCAGAAGAATATACATTTTCTGTAAGCATGGAATATTCAAATGGCCTACTTTATTTGCCAAAATATGCCAAAGTAAAATTACCAGTAAGTTTACGGACATTTCCTTAAACCCCCAAAACAACACAATGCAGTGCAATAGGTCATTAAAATGATGAGTAAAACACTTGTGAAAAATCAATACAGAAAATTCTTTTATATTAACACGTTACTGTTATGGAATTTACAGTTAAAGACCCAAGGACCAGATATGATTAATTAAGACCAGTAGTTAGAAGGGCAGTATATTTAAGACAAGAGATATATTTTAAGACATATTTTTAGTTTGCAGTTTCATCCACAGAAGTCAGCTTCAAGACTCACAAGGAGTTCTAGGGCTGCCCCGCTTACAGACAAAGATAATTACTTCAGGTTGAATGATTTTGATTGGCTAAGGAATAGATAAACATAGTAATTTTCCACACACATACAGATAGACTGAAGCATATCTCCATCGATTATATGGCTGACACTCAGACCCTGGATTTAGGTACGTTGTGGCCTTTCAGGTCGTGATGGGAATAACGGCATTATAAATAAACGGCGTTACTATTTTTTTTCAGTATTACTGTTCCCTTTCAAGGGAACTCGAGCTGCGTCGAGACGTGATTGTGTCACGAAGTGCGTATAGAATCAGTCCAATGGTGTGACGAGACGTCATAGGCGGGTGACATCACAGACCAGGAAACTATAAAGCATACCCAGAAAACAGACTCTTTGTATACTGTCTCTATTATTTGGTGTTGTCTGTCTTGCAAGCATATATATTTATATATTATTATGGCGAACAAGCAGCAGTTCAAGCAGTGTGTTGTTCCTTTCCCTCGTTTAATTATGGGTTGGGACACACAAGAAATGTGAGTTGCTTGTTTGGGAGTGGAGCATGCCCAGTCAGTTCTCGAGGGAGCGTTCCCGCCGGGTGTTCTTTGAGGAGGACGGTTCGGTTCGCGGCGACGCACATCTTGGGGTTCGCAAATGGATCTGACAAAAGGGGTTTGAGATGGGCCCAGTCCTATCTCTGCCTTCACCTGCCAGATCCAGTGCCTTATCTCAGGGAGAAACACACGCTGCAGTTTCTTCTCCCCGGCACGAGCCACCAGTGCTACAATTACCCTGAGGATCTGGATGTTGTAAGCTAGCCTGACTTTGTCATACTCATATTCTAGTCAGAATGTGAGTCTGATACTGCTCCATAGGGCTTTGATTATGAGGCGTGTCTTAACCGAACCAGAAAAAAAAAAACTCTGCACTCAATTGGATAGACCTACAACCAATCAGAGCAACGCAGTAAGTCAACTACTTTGCATAGCACAGTTGTCAACTACAGAACTCAAATGCACGCACGCTGGAAGAGTAAAATAACGAGTGTTGCTTATTTTACTTGGTCCTCCATGAGTGCGACCAAAGGAGAAACCATAACGACCACAGGGGTTTCATTGCGTCCCATCTTCTTAGCGACCATCGGAGCCGGCTGATAAGTTACACTTTTGCCGAATCATGTAGGAAGGACGGCAAAAATATCTTTCCGATCAACAAATGCCTTAATTGCAGTTTTCTGTTTGTCTATTAAAATGAATGCGCTGTCGATTTATTTTACAACAGACGCGACAGCGGAATCTGTACATCTCAGTTCTCCAGCTGCAGTCATCTTTGAGGGAAACCAGTTAAGCGCTCTTTGATAACGTGATGATTACGTCCCTGCAGATCATCTGTCCATCATCATATAAAGGCCGCCCTGGCAATTTGATTGGCCCGAACATTTTTTCACTGATCATAATTACTCCTCAATGGATCGAGTCCCGACCGAACTTCCCGACCAAAAAATGTTGTGGGCGGGGTTCGGGCTGGCATCCAGGCTAGTTGTAAGCATTGATGCAGGGGATTTTGAGGATTCGCCACCTCATACCCCTGCTTATGAGGAGCTGATGGAGGTTGTGACTCATGCTGTAGCTAAATTAACCCTCTGGGGTTTAAGGTGTTTTTGGGGTCCTTGAGATGTTTTGACATGCCCTGACATTTGTGCTTTTTTCAGTTGCTTATAAACATATTAATGGCAAAGGTGTAATTACACTCTATTCAGCACAAACAGGGCTACCATAATATGTGAGGAACATGTATGTACATGTTTGTATTTTTGAGAGAGTAATGTTTATGCATGGTTATTGAAAAAAACCTAAAAATTAAATTTTCTGAAATAAGGCCACAAAACACATACTAAATATGTGTCCACAAGGCTTTTGACTAATGGAAGTTGTCGCCTAGAGTTTTTGCTTCAAAATGATCTGAAAATCATCCTGCCTAATCATCTACATAAAACAATAGATTGATTTAAATTTTGTAAGACAATGATGACAATGACAAATGATCATGAATAATGCTCTGATTCACACCTGAGAAGACAATGACCTGCATAATGAGCCGCATAATGAGCCTTTCAGTCAGGTGTGTCACTGGGTACCACAAGAAAGAATGTGAGGACTTATTTTGTATGCATGCAAATTGTATAATATCCAAGGTAAACATTTCTAGTAACTATGCAGTTAATTCTCATACTGTATTTTCATAAGTTTTGGAATATATCCTCTCCCCAGATGTGTCACTAATAAACAACAATAATAAATAATTTAATGAGAAGGCTTATATTGACCTTTTAAGATGTTGCTTACATCTACCTTGTAAATATATTTTTTGCTATTTTATTAAAAAGTTTTCAGATGTAAATCAACAACAATTACAATTTTAACAATATTTCAAGAGTAATCTTTCTTTGTAAAAAGTATACATTTTATCAAACGTATTTCAAAGTTAAGGATTCATTAGTTTGAATATTGGAACAAACACTATAATAACATCTTAGTTGATAATTCAATATACCTACTTTATTTTTGACAAAACATCCCATACTATATATTTAACATATGAGCAGAAATTGCCAAACAAAAACTTATTTGATGTGACAGTAGTCTTTCACATTAACACTTAATGAGCTGAAATGAGCTGAAATGAGAACGACTGACATCTCTCTCTTTTCATACAGATTACATAAACTGCGAATATTTGTTTTTTATATAAATTACTTCATTTAAATGAAGAGAATTCAAGCTTTTTTCCTGTGTGCCTGTATGCCTGTGTGACTGAGTATTCGCTGAGTTACAGTTCATTTTCAGGGCATTAAACCGAGGTCCTGACTCTCTGTGGTCACAAAAAATCCCACGATGTCTTTCGAAAGAGTAGGGGTATAACCCCGGTGTCCTGGCCAAATTTGCCCCTTGGCCTCTGTCCATCATGGCCTCCTAATCATCCCCATATATACCAATTGGCATCATCACTCTGTCTCCTCTCCACCAGTAAGCTGGTGTGTGTTGGGTGTTCTGGCGCACTACGGCTGCCGTCACATCATCCAGGTGGATGCTGCACATTGGTGGTGGTTGAGGAGATTTATATTACTTATTATTTTCTTATTATATTTGTATTGTTGTTGCAAATAACATAACCACAATGCCATTGAATTCTCTCCCATATGGAAATTATACTAGTAGGTCTATACATGTACATTCCCTTTATGGGAACTTAGTTCTTTACAAAATTGTCAATTCAATTATGATCTTTCCTCTGTAGTTAATTATAACACATATTCTTACCTTTTGTTTTCTCATAGTCTGACCGTGAGTGATCCTTTAATTCAAATCAATCAAGATCGAAGAGGATTGATTTATAACTGTGCTGTCAAAGAAGGAACCTGCTCATCATTGATGATTAATGGTATTTGGGGTTTTGTTCTACAGTACTAATTGAAATATAATTTGCTATTTTCCAGTAGGGTATATACTACAGTAGGGTCTAGGGTAATACTTTATATGAGCGTTGTTCTCTTTTTCAACAAACGAACAGAGATGCTTAACTTTCAGAAAATGTTCAACCTTAGAAGGTTATAGTAAATATTATATCAGCTGTTTTATTTCCTATTACATTGTTACCAAAATTTAGGACATGCAATGTAAAACTCGATTTGTATTTTCTAGTGATTATCATTAAATAAATATTCTAAATTCAAAGCAATTAAATTGCGCTGCTGCTCACCAGTGTGGGACTAGATCTGATTGTAGATATTGATAAATTAGATGTTTACTATACATTAAAGAAAAATAAATTGTAATTGTGTTTTAGTAAATACATTATAGCATAGTAGTTGTTAAACTTTGAAATGAACATTAACTAAGATTAATAAATGCTGTAGAAGTATTGTTCATTGTTCATGTTACCTAATGTAAACCTAATCGTAAAGTGTAAAAAAAAAAAAAAAAAAAAAAAAACAGGATTTGACCTTCAATGCATGCACTTCAAATGTTTTTTGGGGGACTCCAAAGTGTAACATATTCCAATTAAAGGTTCTTTAATGAAAATGAACAAACTGTCTGTATGTTAATCAAGTGCCCTCGGAAGCTGTCAACTTGTCTCTCGGACTTTCCATGGTTCAAGATCCACGGTCTTCAAAGCTGGCGGTAAGTAGTTCAGAACACTGATGAGATCACTTACAGATAAAGTACATATTATAACTATTTCACACATGCAAATGCCTAAAGAACATAAAAAGCCAAATGAAATACTCTGTAAATCTAGTCTGAATTAATAAAAGGCACATATAAATGTTAAAAGACACAATGTGAGTAGAGAACGACGTGTTTAATGATCAATATTAAAGAAAAACAACATTGTTTTCTGTGTATATATACAATTAGTGAATTTTATTTGATTTATTTTTTGAGGCATGTATGTTTGATTTATTATCCTGTCTCAACAACTAAACAGATTTTGACCAGAGCAATAAAAGTGATTGGTATTGTGGTCTATAATTAACTTTTGATTTGGTATTCCTTTAAAATAAGGTACAAATCCATGTTTAAATTCCTTCTCATTCAGATTTGTGGCCCAACCATTCCAAAGAAATGTGTATCAGTTACCACCTTCAATGGCATGTGCTTCATCAGTGAAAACAGTGCGTTTAAACCACCAATACCGAGCTCTCTGAGAGGTAAATAAAACGTTTTTTTTTTCTTCCCCCAGACAAAGAGGTTTCTTCCCTTTTGCTGTAACTGCAGTTTTAACTGGCCTATACACTCTTCTGCTTTTCTTCATTTACAGACTGTCCTGGTCAGTTTGACATTGCTTTTCTGTTAGATGGATCTGGGAGTGTGAATGCATACAATTTTGGAACGATGAAGAATTTTGTGATAAACATGATCAAGCGTTTTACTAATCGGGATGGACTGGTAGGAATAGCCTTACATAACATTTCAGGGATTTTTGATACTAATTGCAGCCAGTGTGTTAAAAAGGGAAAGACCTGAATTTGTCCTTCCATGTGTAATTATCTTTTTACAAAAAAAAAAAAAAAAAAAAAAAAAAAATATATATATATACGTGTATATACGTGTATATATATATATAAAACTGAATGCCGTTATAGAGCACATAATAAGACTTTATCTGTTGTTGATTTACAGTTTGCCATAGCACAGTACTCCAATGGTTGTACTATCCACTTCAATTTCAATCAACTCAAAGACAGCACATGGGAATCTAAGGTGACAAATATACCATACTTTCGAGGTGGCACTTACACTGCAGCAGCCATCAAAAAACTTGTGTAAGACTTGTTTGTTACTATATAAATCTGAATCGTTGTATTTAGGGTGGCCCATTTCACATGCTTAAATGTGGAGTTTAGAAGTTAAAATGTAACACATTAGGAGATGTGGGATTATTTTTTAAATTTTCTGGGGAAACAAAATAAAAAAGTAAACCACAATACTATGCTGTGTTGCTATGATGTTGTTAGTAGAAGTTATGAGTAGTTATTAATGTATTGCTATACCGTTTTAGGGTATTTATGTGGGTTACTTGATCTCTTCTAAATGTCTTTTCAAATACCAGGAATGAGCTATTTACTCCAGATGGAGGGTCAAGGCCATCAGCGAAAAAAATCTTGCTCGTTATTACTGATGGAGAGTCACATGACAGGAACTTATTGAAAGATGCAGCATCACTGGCAGAGGCAAAGAACATAATACGATATGCGATCGGGGTATGCTTTTTCTTCACATAGCCTATATGTCGTTTATATCAGATCCTTAAATGTTTCATTAAATGTGGCCATTTCTGAGCTGCATTAATTTACTTGTAGCTTAGAACTAATAAATGCATTGGGATGTGTGTATGTGTGTGTGTGTGTGTGTGTCTTTATCCATTTATTACTCTAAATATGCTTTGTTGCATCATTTCTTTTTAAAGGAAACAATATTTTTGTCCCTAGGTTGGCGGGGCTTTTAATAGTTACAGTGCAAGAGATGAGTTGAATACAATTGCTTCTGATCCAGATGTTGATCATGTGTTCAAAGTGACAGACTTCAATGCACTGGATAATATTCTTCAAAAGCTGGAAGAAAACATTATTGCCATTGAAGGTAGAAAATTAAGAATGAATGTGTATTTCTGCTATATCTATCTTTTTGTAATAACTGAATAGATATTTCCTAAAAGCTTTAAATGACTTTGAATCAGACGATTAATTTTAGTAACTTCTGTTGGTTTGTTGCAGGAACCCAGACTTCAGGTGATTCCTCCAGAATGGAGTTTGCACAGGATGGATTCAGCGCAGCTTTCACACCATACGTAAATAAATATGCAAAATTGCTCCTTAACATTAAACTCTGAATGATCATAGTAGACTGTATGAATGACCCCAAAGTCAACAATGTAACCCTTAATCTTTTTTTTTCGTAATGCTCACACATTGTTCATCATTATGCAAAGAGAGGGGTATGGGGTTTCTTGAGATGTTCTCTGTGTATTCAAACCCAGGACAGTTTTGCTTTGCTTTGCTTTGTTTAGGGAAGCGTGTTACTGAGTGCTGTGGGAGCTTTCCAGTGGAAAGGTGGATATCAGGAATATTTGCCAGACTACTCCTTTCTAACAGGCAGTGAGCATGACAGCTATCTAGGTGAGGCTTTAAAAAAAACAAAAACAACTCAAACATAGATAGATGTGTGAATTTACAGTCATTTTATTCTATTCAGCAAATACAACTAAGAATAAACCTATTATTAAACTATTGCATTTTGTCTGAAGGTTATTCGATGGCTATTGCAACAACGTCAAGCACCAGCTTTGCTATTCTAGGAGCTCCGAGATACAAGCATAAAGGACAAGTCTTTGCATCACAACTCAGATCCAATCAATATAAACAGCTGCTGGACTCTCCCAAGGTTGTTCACTTACATTTTTTGGTGTCAAAACCATACATAAAACCAGTATCATTTGCTAAAATTGCTAAATTAACTTATGCACAACATTGGAATGTCGCTTAAAACATTTGCAAATAAAACAGCGTTTTCATCCCATATGTTCAAGAGAACAAAATTGTCACTTCCTGGGAAATTTGCGCAAAATATTGGCGCAAAAGCTGTAATTGTGCTTTGGACCATTCATAAAGTTTAGACAAAGATGATGAAATTGCAGTTTACCATTATCCCTGTGACCATGACCGTTCACTTGGTCTTAAGAGTTTAATGTTAAGGATTTGGTACATTTCCATATTTATATACATACAGTATATTCTGAAAGCTGTGTTCCTGCAACAGAAGAAATGGTATCTTAATGGTAAAAAGATGAATCAACAGATCGAGTATAATTACTGGAAAATGCATTTTGTCAATTTACAGTAAAAGCCAAATTAACACCATATTAGCTGGAGGACAACTAGTCTTACACCAACCAGTTCACTGGTAGAGCAAAAGCAAACTCATTAATTGAAAAGTGACTGGCACAACTTAATTAAACTTCTGTAGTAGCCTTTTAACATTTTTTGAAGAATCAAAACTAATATTTAAAGGTGCTGTATGTAACTTGACAAACAAAGCGTAAAAATACCCAGCCCGTTCTCATCCTTTGGCGTCATACATGTGACGCTTTGTACATTTCGTTGAAATCTTACGCACATGGCATCCTTTAGCATCAATATGAGACGCAGAACCCAAGGCGTCATAACCGTACCCTACCCCAGACCTAAACCTACCCAACCTAAACCGTGTTATATTGACGCTAAAGGATGCCATGTGCGTAAGATTTCGACGAAATGTCATATGGCGTCACCTATATGACGCCAAAGGATGAGAATGCGTTGAAATACCATAATATGTTTGCAGATATTTAGGAAATATTTAGGATTCACATACTCGTTTCTCTGAAACACTTCTGAAGCCAGTCATTTTACTTTGAAATGTGCGTTCCGTGTTGGAATGTCTGTTTTTGTTTTGGTCTGTGTGATCCCGCCCACTGCCAGTTCACCCAGTAGTATTTCGACACCCCAGGATGCCAGTTGGCAAGAAACACAGCGTATTGCAGCCTTGGAAGCCAGCAAACAAACTGGGTCGGAGCTTGCAGGTTCTATCCAACCTAAAAAGCCTCGGTGTGCATCTAAAAATCTCTATGAACGAGAGCATATTAAAACGTGGATAAATAAACGAATCAACTTACAGTGTATATCTGTCAACTGCGCTCGTTCCTGTTCTATGTCCTCAAACTGGCAACCTGCGTGAGTCTGAGGAGGAGGGGGCGGGGGAAACAACGATCTCTGATATTTTGACTGCAGTACCTATTTCGACCACTAACTGTCATTCTTACAGACTGCACCTTTAATATGCAAATATTTTGGTACAACTTCCAGGATCTTTAGGGATGGTGCATTTGGTAGTGGTAGCAGTGAGCGTTGTTGCCTGATTTCTCAGCATTACATATAAGCGGCTTTCGCACCGGAGGAACCTTTTCATAGTTCCTAGAACTATTGGCGGACGTTCCCTGTTTTTGGCGTGTTTGCACCGCAGGAACTAGGAACGATTTTAGTTCTAGGAACTCCTTTTGGAGGAACTAATTTAGCTCCTACTTCAGAGTAGGGTATAAACCAGCCAACGCATTCTCATCCTTTGGCGTCATATAGGTGACGCAATATGACATTTCGTCGAAATCTTACGCACATGGCATCCTTTAGCGTCAATATAACACGCACTGTTATGGGTAGGTTTAGGTCTGGGGTAGGGTACGGTTATGACGCCTTGGGATCTGCGTCTCATATTCACGCTAAACGATGCCATGTGCGTAAGATTTCAACGAAATGTACAAAGCGTCACATGTATGACGCCAAAGGATGAGAACGGGCTGAACCAGCACTATCCATGACGTTAGGGTACTCTGATTGGCCGAACGCACGTGAAACACCGGCACCCGCCATTTAAAAAAAAAGGCTGTGTAAACACATAGATTATATATCAACTTTACAAACTAACTCTACGAACATAGCAAACAGAGATAGATGGACCTCTTAACCTTTATGCTGAGTAGAAAATCCAGCGCAACTTTGAGGGGACCAAGCGAAGCATGATTATGCATTTCTGCTCAGCTAGCATCACTGGACATCAACCGCACGGCATTCGCTAATAACTTTTCATTACCCTCTACTTTCTATGCATAACAGTTCTATCTAATATCATATTAGACAAGACTGTTGTATCGTTAACTAATGAACACGGAGAATGCAAGCACTGTGTGTTTGTTTGCTAAGGCTCTGGCGTTCTCAGTGCCGTCAAAATAAAAGTCACAACAACAAGCGCTGCTTACGTCACTTCAGAGTTCCTACTTGCGGTGCGAATGCAACCAGGAAAACGTTCCTAGGGGAACCATTAGTTCTCGGGCAATCACCCTGGTGGCTAGAACTAAGTTCCTAGAACTATCCGGTGCGAAAGCCCCAATATATATAGAACCAATTGTTGATGTAATGAAGTTACAACAAGAAGGCTCGAAACATACAATCAGCAGGGAGTACAGATCATTTTAAAGTTCAAACTTCTCTTTTCTCAGCCTCAGATTGGCTCATATTTTGGAGCTGAGGTGTGTGTGGTGGACTTGAACAGTGACTCCTATACAGACCTACTTTTGGTATCGGCACCAACGTACACAGAGTCTGACCGGGAGGGTAAAGTGTTTGTTTACATCATCACGCGTCAGGTCAGTGTTTTTTTTAGATTAAATTAAATAAAAATAAAAAAAAATTCAATTGAGCAAATGTACATTTGTGTCTGTTTAACCCTGTTTCTCCTCTCTCTGTTATATCTCTATAGGCACTCTTAATTTTTTCGGATACACTGGTGGGCATGGCAGGTCAGAGGGGTCGGTTTGGCTCTTCTCTGGCCAGTCCAGCAGATCTGAATGGTGATGGTTTCATGGATGTGCTGATTGGAGCTCCTTTAGAGGAGGATGGACAGGGCAGCATCTACATCTTCAATGGGATTGATGGAGGGGTCATTTCAAAATATTCACAGGTGAAAAAGACGAGGGTTGGTGGCAGTTTAAAGGGATAGTTCACATAAAAATGAACTCTGTCATTTATTCAGCCTCGTGGTTCACCTTTCTTGCATTACTTTTCCTTGACTCACTTCATAGACTTTCAATATATTTGTTATCTGTTTTATTCCCTCTTGAATATAACAGAGGATTGCTGGATCATCTGTGCGACCAGGTTTGCGGTTCTTTGGGATTTCATTGAGTCAGTCTTCTCTAGACCAGACTCAAGACAGCCTTCCTGACATTGCTGTTGGGTCCAAGGGAGCAGTTCTGCTTCTCAGGTCTGTTTTCTTCTATAAAGAACTAAAATAAATACAAATACAGTGTTTCAGCCATAATCATTCATATGTGTTCATTTGTGAATCATTAATATATTTGGATCATTCAGGTCCAGACCCATCATGCTCTTGGAAACCAAAGTAACTTACAACCCAACCAAAATACCAACCGTTGACCAATCCGACTGCACAAAGCCACTGCAAAACGACCTGACTGTGTGCTTCATCATGAGCGGATACAAACATCGCATAACAGGTTTATTCATAATATAATTACATAATTTGTGTGTCCTTACATCACAAGTACACATATTTTTGGGCTTTTATGATCAAAGACGTTTTCTAGGTTTGGCTGCAAATATTAATTACACCATAATGCTGGATTCCAAGCGACATAAATATCGTGCATACTTCTCTGCCAAAAACCGGCTCCTTAGTGATGTGATGAAGATTGAGTTGCAGGAAGTATGCAAAATTCATACTTTTTTTATAGAGGTAAGCATCAAATGTCATTATTGTTTCACATTTATGAGAAGATTTTCAGTGAATCTGATGAATCTAGGCTAAAATTTAGACTAAAAGGGTAATTTCTGTTTCTTATACTTCAACCTTATTGTCTTTGTTATTATAACTATAATTATCTTTGTTTCATGCATTTTTGTTATAATGTAGGTAACTTTTATGTGTTAAAAAATAATAAAAAAACTTTAGATACAAATTCCAAATAAAAACATTTAAACAACACAAACTATAAATTATAACTTGATTATTTACACATGCAGCAAGAAAAATAACTGAATGTTAAACAGTATGTAACCTGATATGACGGAAATAAAGAACCATTCATCTATATATTGTCTATATAACTGATAAAAACTACAAATGTTGAGTTTAATGTTTCATTCAACATTTCAAGAAATATGATGGGGACATTACAAGAATCAAATGCATAACAAGAGTGACCCAAGTTTAATCGTAAAGTGTTTTGTTATTAACGTCTCTTATTGATTCTCGTTTCCATAAGGCTTGTTCAGAAGATGCTCTGAATCCGTTGGCCAATCAGATAACATTCACATTTGAGGGTCTTCCATCAGGAAGTATGGGAAATTTGAGACCAGTACAGCTGCCAGAGACAAAGACCACCACAGACCACAATGTAAGAGTTCATCTGAGTTAAGAGCAGAAATTACCAGAATTTTATGTACAATTCATGAATTTTTCTGTGCCTTCACTTTGTTTTACAGCTGGATTTTGAGATAGATTGTGGAACTGATAATGTATGTGTCGATGACCTTCGAATGGATTTCAATTTCTCTGGGTGAGCAAACCGTTTGCTCTGTTTCTGAACTGAAGTTAATAATTTATAATTAATAATTCCGCACCATCTTGATGCTTATGAAAGTATTTACATTTCTCTCTTTGATCCAGATCTACGAACATAGAGGTTGGAATAATGCAGGAGCTCAACGTGACCGTGTTTGTAGAGAACAGAGGAGAAAACTCATACAACACTCTCTTCACCCTCAAATACCCCTTTGGACTTTCCTACAGGAGATTCACATCTAAACAGGTAAACATAGGCACATATGCTGAAACTGATAATAGTTAATAATGATAACAATGCTATTTCTAAAGCAAAATAGCTATAAAACACTGAAGATGCAAAACATTTTTAAATAAAACTTAAAATTCTAGAGCTACATTAAAAATATGTATGTATGTTGAGATGTATGAGAAATGTTCTGTATGAGCAGGGCAGAGTGGAGTGTGTGTCTCTGGATGCTGAGCGAGGAGTTACACTGGGAGAAACCTCCTGCCAGATCAGTAAACCCATCCTCAAGGGAAACACTCAGGTCAATAATCACACCCCTGACACCAACGTTTGCTCATGTGGAGGAATGCATGTTAATGGTTAAACTGATAATCATTATTTTGCTAAAAAAATTATTAATAATAATTGTTCTCATTTGAGACATTTCTGTTTACATTTTATGAGAATTATTGCACTTTCAAGTAAGGACAAATCAAGAGAACATCAAGAAGTTTTTCTCACAGAGTTTTTCTCACATTCATTCATTTGAGCAGAATATCACAATGGAGATCGCTGAACTCCAACATACATGTTTGCCTGTATTTTCAGATCATCAGCGCATGGTTTTCAAGTTGGGAAGATTAAGGCTATGTTTACACGGAAACGATCTGAAGACAAAACGCAAAAGTGGCGTTGCGTTATCACTTTTTATTCTGCGTTTAGACGAGCGTTATGGTTGGGAAATCCGCATGCATATGGTGACGCAAAAGTGTGTGAAATTCGATGTAGGACTAGTATGCACTCCAGGCGGCTAGGTGGCAATGTGAAGCACTGCCACACAACAACACCAATATCTTAGAATATTTTGTACAACTGCTGAAAAAGACTCTTCTGCTAGGGCAACTTGAAGGTCCGACGTATGGAAATAATCTGACATGTTGGTTGTTATTTTCCTGTACTGGCGCATGCATGTGACGTAAACGCATACGCGACGAGAGCCACCGTGAGCAGATTTGCGTTTTTACCGTTTAGACGGGAACGCGACGGTGGAGCGTTTTTAAGATTTCCACTCTGGAGGGTGGTTTCACTTTTTTGCATTTTTAAGCCCCCAAAACGCCGTTGCCGTGTAAACGAAAGGCACATCTGATAAAATATTTTGTACGTTTTCACCTGGAATCGTTCTCGTGTAAACGGGGCCAAAGTAAAACACTTGCTGGATAATTTGATGGTTTTCACGACGCGTCATCAATCCGGAAGTCGGCCATTTTGGAGGCACTGAACGTAAACAATGCCACTGAACTAAACGGACTCGCAAATTTGGCTGATTATTGATTACTGAAAAATGGTCGAGTTTTGGTCTGTACTAATCGGTTGCATCGAGAAAAAACCTTTCGAGTTCTATAGACCGCAAGTTAAAGTTAAAGAGAAGAGTGCAAAAAACTGACGAAAGAAGGCGTTTGTGGTTGAGAGAGGCACAGCATCAGCTCATCAACCACATGTGTAAATGAAGTGTTGACTATGGCTAAAATGTTGACGTAGTTATATGGCTACATTCACACTGTCAGTCCAAATCCGATTATCTTTGTATCCGATTGGAATCTGATCTAAAATGATGTCCACACTGTGTATCGCAACTGTTCAGATCCGATTTGTGTGTCCATGCAGCTCTCGGGCAATATGGCACTGACATTGCGTTGATGGAGGGGTTTGCATTTGCAATAGAAATGTTGTCTTATTCAAATTTTACAACATGGAAATGTGTAGCCGCCGCGCTGGACTATACTGCGCATTGAGCTGCAGAACTGTAGGAGGCTGTTATGTACAGCTTTTTTTCCACGCTCCGGTTTGTCTGCGCCGGTTTCAAAATATGTTTCAGAAATAATCATTTTCTGCTCGTCCGGCACTTTGCAACAACACAGCATTGTTTGACTTTCGAGCCCGTTCTCATCCCAAGGCGTCATAAACTGGCGCTTTTGACATTTCGTCTAAATCCAACGCACATGGCACCCTTTAGCGTCAATATGAGACGCAGATATATATGGGCCAGAAAGCGCCTCCTAGTGGTCTAACCCTAACCCTACCCCAGACCTAAACCTACCCATAACTATATTGACGTTAAAGGGTGCCATGTGCGTTGGATTTAGACGAAATGTCAAAAGCGTCAGTTTGTGACGCCTTGGGATGAGAATTAGAGCCCTGCACGGGCCTCAAATCTAGGCCCTAGCCCGGCCCTGCCCCGAGACGCTCAGGCCCTAGCCCGGCCCGTGTCCGACAGCTCATCAGAATGATCAGCCCGAGTCCGACCCGAGCCCGTAAAAAAAAAAAGAAAAAAAAAAAGAAAAACAGCCTGACCTATGTTGCAGTCAGTAAACCAACCAGATATATTTTGTTTTCAATGGCAAAGTATTTACCGGTAGGTTTATTTTCATTTCTTTATAAAGTTAATTAAGAAAAAACAAAAAACAAAATTTATGACGACCAAGCAGCCGACAGCGAGTTAAACATGTTTGATCCATTGATTGATTTATAGCCTCTCAAATCAACACTTTACTTGGCTACAATAAAATCCATAGATATAAAACAACTTAAGCATATCACACAGACAGTTAACGTTAGTTTAAACGTTTATTGTCATTTTTGAAAAGCTGAGGCAAACTGCTCTGCTGCTCAGTCGCAACAGCGCTCGCAAACTAAATGAATTTATAATATAGGCTACAATACAGAGAATGCAATCTAAACAAATCAAATAAATTACATTAAAAACAAACATGCAGGTTATCTTACCTCAAAAATCAAGTCTTCACTACAGAACATGGCCATTTCCAATAGTTTCCAACAGACTCATGAAAATAAAGTCCAATCAAACAAAAAACAACCTCCTCCTAACATGGCTAAGAACAGTCTCAGAGCATCGTGAAGAAAAAGCACAGCATCCACAGTGGAAGGTTTTAATCCAGTCGTACTTTTTCCAGCTGCGCTGAAGTCACGCTCGCTACCATAGCGGGACACTAGAACGAGCCGGTCGCGCGAATCTCAGATCGCGCCGCCGGGAAACCTGTGTGTGTGTGTGTGTGTGTGTGTGCGTGAGCGTGAGCATGAGCAGACTGTCATGTGTCAGTCTTATGTCAGTGTGATAGGTTATAAAACGTCTTTCTATGTTTGCTTTTCAATCGTCATCTTCTCATGTTTTATTTTAATTAATGTCTAAAATAGGCTATAAAAAAGATAAGCCTAAAACAGGCCCGAGGCCCGGCCCGCGTGTGAACTATGACGTGAAAATTGGCCCGAAGCCCGGCCCTAGGAGCATAAATAAGTCGGGGCCCGTCGGGCTCGGGCTGAAATGCAGGCCTCTAATGAGAATGCGTTGGATTTTCTTCATGTTTCCTCTAACAACGTCTGACGTTTACATTTTACGCGGCGTGAGAGTCACATACCACCCGAAATCCGATCGTTCAGACTGAAGCCGATGTCCTGATATGTGAATAGGATTTCAAACCACATATGGATGTAGCTTGAAACGGATTTCATGTGCTTTTTTGGACTGACAATCTGAACGTAGCCTATGTCGGGATAAGAAATAGAAGGAAGAATTGCAGTACGGGCTAGAGAAGCTTTACCACATATTAACTTTAGTTTGTCAAAATTTTGCACTCTCTCCTGCTTACTAAGTCCTTCTCTATATGATTTTGTACCTACCACGTGTTTTTTCCATGGTTTATTAGTGTAACAATGTGTTCAGTAGTACATAAACAGTGCAATCCATGCTGTTGTTTACATCCGAGTGTCTCCATAATGGCCGCACATCCGGGTTACCGCCCAGAACGTGATGTCAGTGAAAACCCTCTATTGGGGGATTTAAACTTTTGAAATCTGGCAACCCCAAGTATGAAAGCTCGTGGAGGCTTGTTACTGATACAAGATAATGGAAATGTCCCCCAAAAAAATTCAGGAAAAATAACAAACGGGCCAGAAGCAGAAATCGTGATCACGATTAAAACACTATTAATTGTCTAGCTCTACTTGTTTGCTTATATACATTCATTTAGTGACTTGATTACTTTTAAACTCAAAGCAGTTAACAAACACTTTTATCCAGAGCAACATTCATGGGTGTGTGACTGGTCAACATGTTACGTTGACATATGAATTTCAACAACTTTAATTAGTCCAAAATGTACTCTTATTCTGGCTTTTTCGTCCAAATCTAGGTTGTGTTTGATATTACATACAGTATTAATAAAGACAGTACACTGGGCCAAAATGTGAGGTTTACTGCTGCAGTCACGAGGTATGACATCATCTTTGTGTGCTAGAAGTTGTTGAACCCAAAGCGTAAAACACCTTTACCGTGAGCTCTAGGAGGATTCTCACATGATCATTTCATCAGGAACAGATAAATGCAACTAATAAACCAAACCTCCATCTCTCACAGTGGGAATGACAAACACTCAAGCGACAGTGAGTTTAACAAACAGAAAACCATTGATGTCAAATATGCCATCTATATTGCCTTGATAAGGTTAGTGCTCTGCCCCACGTTTCTGTATAGAAATAATAATAATAAAAAATCTTTATCCTATACTGTAATTTTGTCATTTTCTTTCATCATTTTTAAATAAAAGGCATGAAAATTCCACCATCCACATTAATTTTACTTCAGGGAAAAGGGATCTTATGAAACCGGTCCAGCAGATATTAAAGGTATCAGTTCAAATTCTGTCTTAAAGTACATTAGTAAAAGGTTTTGTAGTACTCTAAAATCAAATTTTTAAAAAAGGCTAAATGACAGATTTTAACAGGATTTATTTTATCAACAGAAGAAAATGTTAAAATGCCCATCCTGAACATAACTCTTACATGTTTAAATGTTTCCTCTTTCAGGTTCAGAATGACCTCAGAGAATTAACTTTCAAAGTTTTCATCAGAGTACCAGTGAAACTTGGTGATACTGACATCTGGACTAATTCAAATTTGCAAGTGTGTGAATTTATTTCTGATTTCACAAGCCATACAGGTATACTGATTGTATTAAAGGCTCATTCAACAGGGACTTTTATTTTAAAAGCGGAGTCGTAATAATATTCCTTATATTTGAAACCAGTGGTCCTGAACCAGAGGGCCTCAGCAAACTTACAAGAGAGCATTTGCTGACAGAAAGTGAGACTTTCTTTCTTTCTTTCTTTCTTTCTTTCTTTCTTTCTTTCTTTCTTTCTTTCTTTCTTTCTTTCTTTCTTTCTTTCTTTCTTTCTTTCTTTCTTTCTTTCTTTCTTTCTTTCTTTCTTTCTTTCTTTCTTTCTTTCTTTTTAAAGATACCTGGCTGTACCAGCGAGAACATGACGAAGCCTGTTATCACCAATATTGCGTTGTTGGACGTTATTAAAAATTATCGTCTGGTGGTGAGGACACTTTTTGAATTTTGTTTTGCTTTACCTCATTTGTTTTCCACAATTTATTTGATTTATTTCTTGTGTATGTTAAACATACATCAATGCATTTCTGTCTCTCTCTATTTGTGTGTGTGTGTCAGAACTGCTCTGTGGCGGTGTGTGCCGTGTTCAGCTGTGACGTCACTCTCATAAAGAATGAAAGGAAACTGTATAATATATTTGGCAATGTGAGCTCTGGATGGATTGAACAGGTATCTGACTTTTAAAGTAAATTCATATCTCAGAACAGACCATATATATTCTTCATAACTGTTTGATCATTTCTTATTGTCACGATCTGTCTCTCTTAGACTGGACTCAAGGCTGCTGTTTTTGAGTTGGTCAGTTCAGCGTCTCTGGATTATGACAAGAGCAAATACATTTTCTTTTCCTCTGATTCTCAACACACTGCACCGTCTGTCCAGGTAATACAGTGATCGTTCATGTCAAGTCTAATGACTGTAAAAAGAGCTCTCAAAACTGTGCTCTGTTTGAAGGAATCTATAACGGCAGTCGACTGTTTATAGTTTATGATTTGATCATTTGACCTGTATTTTATTCTTTTTTTTCAGACCACATACTTTTCTCTTTTTGCTTCTTGCAAATATATTGACAATTGCACTTACAACATTCTTTCACACAAATCTACTTCCTATGCAAATACAACAGAGTCAAGAATGCTTACACTGTTCAAAAGTCTGGGGTTTGAAAGTCTCTTCTGCTCACCAAGGCTTCGGTTATTTGACCAATTATGTAGTAACCAGTAATATTGTGAAATATTATTACAATTTTAAAGAACAGTTTTCTGTTTTATTATATTTTAAAACAAAATTCATTCCTGTGATGTCAAAGCTGGATTTTCATCATCATTACTCCAGTCTTCAGTGTCACATGATCCTTCAGTAATTATTCTAATATGCTGATTTTAATATGCTGATTTCAAATAAAAGAACAGCATTTATTTGAAATAGAATTTTTTTGTAATATTATAAATGTCTTTCCTGTTAGTTTTGATAAATGTAATGCATCCTTGCTGAATTAAAGGAAAAATAACTTAAAAAAGACTACTTACTAACCCCAAACTTTTAATGGTAGTGCATAGCATTTTAAAACGGATTACAACAACAGCACAAGAGACAGGGATGTGGATCATACACACACTTAAACAGATGCATTATAGCAAAAGAATGTATATAGGAAACAATCATGTTATCAAATAATAATGTCTCTATTGTTCGACATGGAACATCTGTGGAGGAGGAAGGAGGACTTCCTGTTACACTGAGATCACTTCTGACTGCATTTAAAATTAACTTGTTCACATGTTTCCACTTTGTAGATTAACACTCAAGTGGAGGTGTTTGAGGATGCAAACCTGACCAAAGAGATCATTGGAGGAGTAATAGGAGGACTGTTGCTACTGGCTCTCATCACAGCGGCTCTCTATAAAGTATATCACCATCATAACACTTCACTTTCACATGTCTACACAATCTATATGTTTAAATGCTTACAGTGCAGTTTATTACAGCATATTTCTCCCTTTACAAGGCTGGGTTCTTCAAAAGCCAGTACAAGCAGTTGCTGCAGGAGGCGCAGGGCGATGCAGGAGGAGAGCCAAACATGGCACAATAATGTGCACTCAAACAGTTAGAAGTAAATATTTAACTTCCTTCTTTGCTATGAAAACTGATAATGACTGTGAGTGTGAACTATAGCAGAGATATTGGAGGACCTTGTTCTCACATGCACATTGTTTTTGATAGTCACAGTTGCAAGAAAGAAGTCAAAATTGCGAGATATATACTCGCAATTGTGAGAAAAAAAGTCTGAATTGTGAGTTAAAGGGTTAGTTCTCCCCAAAATGAAAATTCTGTCAGTAATTACTCTCCCTCATGTTGTTCCAACCCCGTAAGACTTTCGTTCATCTTCGGAACACAAATTAAGATATTTTTGATTAAATCTGAGAGCTGGATTCATTTCCTTCTCTGTGGGCCTCGAGATTTCACGTAGTGAAACTGCGCAGCGCTTCTGTGTTGTACGTCACACGCATCACACACATGACCAGCGTCGGCCAATAATGAGCCTATACGTGTGACGTACAACACAGAACCGTTGCGCAGTGAAATCTCGAGGCCCACAGAGAAGGAAATGAATAGTTGAATAAAGTCGTTATTTTTGTTTGTTTTTTGCACACAAAAAGTATTCTCGTCGCTTGATAAACTTAATATTGAGCCACTGTAGTCACTTGGACTATTTTAACAATGTCTTTATCTTTTCTGGGCCAGCCAGTTTCGATCCCTTAAGAAGCCTATAGAGGAGTGATCAGATTTAATCAAAAATATCTTAATTTGTGTTACGAAGATGAATGAAAGTCTTAGGGCCTGTTCACATATCGCGCCTTTTGCGCACTCAAGTTCGTTATTTCAAATGTAGGCGCGCGGTATGCGCACTCATTATGGAAGCGACGCGGTCGCGGTGCGACGCGCTCGTTTTTTACAAGCGTGTCCGTGCCGCATCGAGATAAAATCATCTCAACTTTTCAGAATGCCGCAAGCGCACCATAGGTCAGGTGACAAGAACCAACCACAGCAACGACAGACGCCTCCGGAGCACAACCACCCTAGCGCTTTGGAAAAAGGAGAATGCGGTGCGCCTAGCGTTTTCTAAGGGTTTTTAGGCGCTATATTTGAACCGAGCCTTGTGGGGTTGGAACAACATGAGGGTGAGTTACTGACAGAATTTTCATTTTGAGGTGAACTAACCCTTTAAGTCCAGTTCTGAGAAAAAAATTGTCAGCTCATAATTTGGACATTTTCTTGCAATTGCGAGTTTATATCTTATAATTCTGAGAAAAAAGTCAAAATTGCTAGTTATAAAGTCCAGTTCTTAAAAAAACCCCAAAAAGTCAGTTCACAATTCTGACATTTTCTCGCAATTTCTTGCAATTCTGAGAAAAGATTGCAACTGCAACTGTTTATATCTCAGAATCGCTATTCAGACTTTGTAACTCATAAAAGTGAGTTTATATGTCACAATTCTTAGGGGGGAAAAGTCAGAATTGTGAGATATAAACTCGCAGTTGCAAAGAAAAAAGTCAGAATTGTGAGAAAAAAAGTTGCAATTGCCTTTTGTTACTTTTTATTCTGATTTCTTATCACAGTTAACTACAGATTTTAAAAATGATGAATGCTTTCTGCTTTATATAAAGATATTGTTTATTTAGCTTTTTTTCATATTTAAAATGGCACTTAGTGTTAGTAAGGAAATAATTTTGGCATTATCCATTACACTTATTTTTGTGTCATTATTTATGCATACTTCAATTTGTGTTTGAAATAAAATTAAACATTGAAAATTAAACATTGAAACGTGAAAAACAGTGTCAGTGTCTCATATCATAAGAAGTACAACTTAATATTCTACTGTAAATCAGCAGCTCTCCAGTGTGTTTTCACACGCAGACTTCTGACCTCGACGGACTCCACAGGAGAAATGAACCGGAAAAGATTTCCACGTGAAAGAATTGAGCCTTCGTTTTGGCCTGATTTTGTTCAAAATGATGTCGGTCCGTGTACCTTCGGATAGTTTGTTTTCTCGTTTTTGTCTTCTAAACGGAAAAACTAAGAAACCGTTCATTTATCACATATTCGTCCCTTCTCATGAACATAAATAAACAAATCTTTTTTATTACACTTTGTTCTAATCCACCAAATGGAAACACAATAAAACCAAAATGGATAAACAGCTTGAATAATCAATCTCTACATGGGTGGGATTAAAACGCCCCTTTCCACTGATTGGTCAACCAAAGATCAAGCCGTGCTGTCATCAGTTCTTTCTCAGCTCCCCGCAACAGAATAATAGTCATCTGATACAGTTGTAAGAATTTTTACAGTTTATAGCAACTACTTTTAATCTCTTTCTCATCAAACAGCCAGTAAACGGCCAATAAATAGCTCGACACAAACCGTACCGAGGCAGAGCCTAGACAGAACTTTCTTCTATGTGTAGAAGAACTAAACCTTACTAACCTAACCCTAACCCAATGTGAAATATATTTCGCATATAGACCTAGGTGTAGCAAAGTTCAATGAAGTAGTGAAGGAAGGAGACAGGGTCGGCTTGCTGTGGAACGTGTGGATTGTTTATTTAATACTTTCTCAACCAAAAACAAAGTCGCGCTCTCAAACACAGTCTTTCTCCAATCATTTCCACAAGCAGCTTCTCTGGGTTCTCCGGCAGCACAAACGTCCACACTATTCCACAGCCACTCTCTCTCTCTTTGCTTCCTGTTTCCAGGTGGCTTTTATCCAGTTCCCCATAGCAATTACTGTATCGAGATCCAGTTGTGCGTCACCTACTTGACCTACTTACTCATCTCCTGACTCTCTCTAGTCACAGACCTTGCTGAACCACACCCCCCTCGCCACATACCCCCAAAGCCTGACTCAGGCCGGGGAGCCATTCCAATTTCTGGAGAGAAAATCCGCCACAGCCATCTGCGCCCCCGGCCTGTGGATCACCTGAAATTTAAAGGGTTGCAGTGCCAGATACCAACGGGCGTTGGTAATCCTTCATGCGGTGGAGGCACTGCAGGGGAGCGTGGTCCGAACAGAGGGTGAACTCCCGCCCCAAGGGATAATAGCGGAGGGTGAGAACGGCCCACGTGATGGCTAAACACTCCTTTTCTATGGTGCTGTACTTAGTCTCTCTATTAGAGAGCTTCCGACTAATGCACAGCACATCTCCTGTGACAGGACCGCGCCCAGCCCCCTGTCCGACGCGTCAGTCTGTAACAAGAAAGGGACAGAAAAGTCCGAAGAATGCAAGAGCGGCTCGCCACACAGAGCAGCCTTTATCTGGGTAAAAGCCTGCTGGCACAGCTCCGTCCACTGGATCGTGTCTGGTACTTCCTTTTTAGTGAGATCAGTCAGCGGGCTGGGGAGGTCCGAATAGTTAGGTACAATCCTTCTGTAATATCCCGCCAGCCCCAGGAACTGTCTCACCGCCTTTTTGGTCTTGGGTCTCGGACAGGTTGTAATTGCTGCCGTTTTTTCCATTTGGTGACGCACCTGTCCGTGACCCAAGTGGAAGCCCTAGATATCTGACCTCCACACGTCCAAATGCACACTTCTTCGGGTTGGATGTCATACCGGCCAGCCTCATCGCTTTCAGAACGGCCCCCAAGTGCCCCATATGTTGCTGCCAATCATTACTGTAGATGATGTTATCATCCAAGTAAGCAGCATCATACAGTATGGGGCCGAAGAATTCGGTCCATGAGGTGCCGAAACGTGGAAAGCGTAACAAATTGGTGCAATCCGAACAGCGTTTTGAAGGCTGTTTTTTCTTTAGACATTGGAGATAAGGGGATCTGCCAATATACTTTCGTTAGGTCCAATGGGGTCCAGCCGATCCAGCAACTTGTAAATCCGAGGCTTTTTTTATATGCGTCGAATTTCGACACAACGTTCAACTTGCAGTAGTCAACACAGACCGAGCCGTTCGTTTTTGGCACTAAAACTATCGGGCTCGCCCAGTCACTATGTGACTCCTCTATTACTCCCATGTCCAGCATCGCTTCTAATTCCATCTGAACAACCTTTCTTTAACCGGTAGGTAACCGGTATTGCCGGTATGGCCGTCTGCACACTATCGGAGCACACAAAGCCTCTGACTATCACGCCCGGCTCCGTCTCAATATGGTGCTGAATCAAATTGGTTCAGCCAGGTAGGGGCGAAAACACGTCTGCAAACTCTGCCTGTAATTTTGCTACATCATTGAGCTGCGAGGGAGAAAAGTGATCTCCTCCCGGGGCCAGAGCGAGAGATTGTACTTTGTGGCTCGCCTCCGGTCTGAGATCCTCCTCTCCACTCACTGCCGTCTCTAGTCTGTTTGTGGGTGACGCTAGTGCAAATCAATTTAATGCCCAACAATTCGTACAGTTTGCATAGCGTACGTGACATAGACTCTGTGCCCTGATCAGTGAGAATCTCTTTTGGGATTTCCACTCGGGAGATTAAACGAAACAGCGCGTCCGCCACACTCTTCGCTGAGATGCTGTGGAGCACGACTGCCTCCGGATATCGCGTTGCATAATCCACAGGAACTAATGAGGTCCATATCAATTCGTTTGAAGGGGACCTGCACAAGAGGGAGAGGGCACAATGGCGCTTTTGGGGCGGCTGGTGGATTTACTAACTGACACTCATGACACAACGCGCACCATCTGCGTACGTTTTCGTAAATGCCCGACCTGAGAAATCGGATCATTAGACGATTTTAACGTGGCTGCCATTCCTAAATCCCCGGCCATGGGATTACAATGAGCCACCTGGAAAAGCATTTCCCGGCAGCTTTGTGGTAGTAATAACTGGGTTGTATCTTCTTTTGTCTGAGTGTCTTGGGTCACCCGATACAACCTATCTTTTATGATGGCAAAATAAGGATATGAGGGTGCTCGCTCAGGATGGAGAAGCTGTCCGTCGATAGCTTAGACCTGTTCAAACGAGTGTTTTAGGGTTTCATCATGGGACTGTTCCAGGGGAAAATCATCACGACTGGAGATGTTCACCCTTTCCAGGACGTTCGGTTCCCCTGGATCAGATGCCACTGGTCCCGGAAGAGCTTCCCCCACCTGTGCGCTCGCCCCCCGTCCTTGTGCTATTTTCCCCAAGAGACATCCTCTGTCAAACACCCCAATGCTGAAACGCTGGCCAATTTGTCCCCAAAATTAGCGGATGCCTGAGGTACGAACTAACTGACACCTCAACACAATTGTCTTTTCCCCGGAATTGTATGGTTATTGCCCGTATTGGATATTCCACCACACACCTCTCCGTGCACACACCTCACTTTAACCATGTGGCACTTTTCCAATGCCCCTGACTGAATCAGGCTTCGATGGATGGAGGTCTGGTTACAACCTGAATATACCAAAGCCTGATAGATACCCTCCTTATTAATATTCATAGGTATTTTGTATAACCCGGCTTGATCGGGGGTGGCCTGTGGAACATCCGGCACCCGGACTAACGTCCCCACCTCCATCACTGGACACCGGTCCACAAAGTGCCCCAGGTCCCCGCAACGGCAACAGGCCGGCTCAGGCCTTGCCGCCGCCCTGGTGGCAGGAAGTGGGTCATGGAATTGCCGTGGGGAAAACAGGGAAATGAGAGCGGTGCTGCTGTCGGAGTTGATGAGGACCAGCCATGGACTCCTGTCCCTGTCCCGCCCTCCAGTGGGGTGGGGCTTGCGGCGGCAGTTTGACACGAGACCTAGGTAGAGCGACAGGTTTTGAGAGAAAGAGAGAGAGAGAGAGATGGGAATACAACAGGGGAGGAGAGAGAGAGAGAGAGAGAGAGAGAGAGAGAGAGAGAGAGAGAGAGAGAGAGAGAGAGAGAGAGAGAGAGAGAGAGAGAGAGAGATCGAAGGTAACCCCCGAGGACGCCACCATCTGGTGAAGACATACCGTCTTGCTGTGGAACTTGTGGATTGTTTATTCAATACTTTCTCAACCAATAACAAAGTCGCGCTCTCAAACACAGTCTTTCTCCAATAATTTTCTCACAAGCAGCTTCTCTGGCTTCTCCGGCAGCACAAACGTCCACACTGTTCCACAGCCACTCTCTCTCTGTTTGCTTCACGTTTCCAGGTGGCTTTTATCCGGTTTCCCATAGCAATTACTGCAACGAGATCCAGGTGTACGTCATTTTGCACTTGACCTACTTATGTGCCGCTCGTCTCTCGATTCTCTCTCTTGTCACAGACCTTGCTGAACCACCCCCCCCTCGCCACACTAGGCTATTTATATTTTATACAGTTTTTTTCTCCGTTCACAGAAGAGTTGCTGGTGCGTGATGATGATAAATCCTCTTGTTCTGTTGTTTATGCTGCTATTTTATGGGATCAATATCCCATCTAAAGTATTGCAGCCAATCAAAATTTTTGAAACACGTAAAAATATATTGCACAAACTGAAAAAAAAAAATGCAAAATGATCAGAATAGCAAACAACATGGTCACAGATCAAAAATATAATAAGCGTGAATAAAAAAATAACGAGCATGAAAAAAACTGTAAACACATTAAAAATTATTTTGCACAAAACTTAAACTTATGGTCATGCTTTCTTAAAAATTCTGTTTTCCTCGGTTTTATTACTCTGTACTTTGTGTTCTCTTGCATTTTCTGCTCATATTTTTTGTACGCTTGTGCTGTTTTTCTCTTCGCTCTTCTTTCCATGTTCTGCACTTGCTTTCCCAAATGTTGCAGTTCGAGTTTCATGTAAGTTAGGGCGTGCTTAAACGTCACCATGGTCCACTAGTTCTAGATTGACAGCTCCTCCTCTAGCCAATCAATCAAAGAGGGGAGGTGACGTCACACCAATGCGACTCATGACTACTGATGCTCACTCATACAGGGGAACACAACAGTTTAATTTAAACTTTACAAAGACTTTCAAGGAGTAAAGCTATCTAAACTCTGGACATTATACAAATACTGTAATTAAGTTAATCTTTTTTGAGATACATGAGAATTTTAATGTGCACACTGGTAATTGGTTTTAAACATCATGATGTTAATAGCAGCCATATCACCCTGTAGCCCAAGACTGGTTGCCCACTGAAGCTAAGCGGTGAGCTTAGTGTAATACTTGTCTGTGGGTGTTCTCGGGGCTTTAATCTAAAGATAACTTTAGTAATATATCAAATAAACCCTCGGACACGGACGAGTTCTTCTTTTAGACTCCTTGCTCTCTTTATTAACTCCTTCTCTTCCGCTCTCCTTTCTGTACCCCCCATCATAATAAAAGTCCTCCAACAACATCCACTTTAACACAATATACTGCTGAATTAACATTGAAATATTCAAATATAACATCAGCATTAATCTTTTTAATATAATGTGCTACACTTTGAACTCTTACATTAGTACCTGGATGGGAGACCTGCTGAGAAAACCAGGTTGCTGCCGGAAGAGGTATTAGTGAGGCCAGCAGGGGGTGCTCCCCCTGTGGTCTATGTGGGTCCTAACGCCCCAGTATAGTGACGGGGACACTATACTGTCAAAGAGCACCGTCCTTCGGATGAGACGTTAAACAGAGGTTTGTACGCTTGTGCTTGTGATCTCAAAGGCTCTCTAGCGACAGATGCCAGAGGCTGCAGTCTTTAGCCTCCTTGTTAGAGCGCCTGACTCTCATGCCGGAGACCCGGGTTCGAGGGTCGAGTGAGACCCGGGTGGAGGGGTTACACCTGCCTGAAGGGCAAAACATCCACAGCACTGCAGTACACTGTCAATTATCCAGCTGTTTAAACAAGCCACAAATATTCACATATTATTTAATGCCGGCCTGGGACACAATTTCAGGCCGAGAGTTTCACACCAATCCAGGCCACTCCATTGCAAACATAATTTACATTAGGCTACTGTTTAATGGTGAATAATGACATACATAGGGCTAGTTTTTACGCCTACTTCACTTGGGCCAAATAGTGGAAATACGTCATGGAAGTAGACAAGTGGTCAAGTGCAAAGACCGCAAGTGGGTATATTTGTACAAGGCAGTTGTGTGGAAACGACCGTCGAATTGATGAACAGAATTGTGAAGTGACGTCACGCGCGATGGGGAGTCAGCTTTCAGTCAAGTTAAAACACATCTTCACTTCCATTTATTGCCTTGACTGTCCCACCTCATGCATCCTCTATATATACACTTGAGATGATATTATGGACCAGAACTTCTGTATCAGATTATGCATCTTATGTGGTAAGATATTTATTTATTTTCTTCTCTATCTTTTATTAGCCTAGTTATTTTGTATACACCATCGTTTCCTCAATAGCTGCCTATTTTCACTCTTTTGTAAATCTTTTTGCTCACTTTTACGATTTGAAAGCAATGAATGGCAGTGAGATTTGATCATCATCTCACCATGTAAAACTGGCTTTACATTCTCTTTATAGTCTATATTTGTTCAAATTTAAAGCAGTGAAATGAATTGCAATAATCATGTTGTACATTAATAGATGAATGAGTGATTTAAAAAAAACACAATATATCGTAGGAATTAAGTTTAAAGCTCTTTTAGTTTTAATTTTACAGTAGATTTACATTCAAAGACATTGTTGATCGTAAAAAAATTAGACATCTAATTTTTGGACCTCATAAGATCAAAACCATGACCATCTTTCTAAAGTAGTAGCATATGACCAGATATTAAATGTATATGAGGATGGAAAAACTGTCCTTTTAAGGCAAGAATAAATCGCAACAAGTATGCACTTCCTTCTCTAAAAGCCCCTCTGTCTAATTCTGTCTCATATGAGCTTTCTGCCTTCACACATTTCACACTCAAACACGCATCTGTGAGAAAACCACTGCAAATAATAACTTCTGTACGACACATTTTCACATTTACCCGTATTAAGAAACAATTACACTTAAGAGGAAACCAAACAAACTGGGTTTTCTGGGTTTTTTAATGGTTACAAGACATATTTTATGTTATTTGTTATGTTATTTTTTGTCAATTGCCTCTATTGGTGCTACACAGTGAAATAACCAGCAGCTGCTGAACCGATGTTGGCATCTGTTACTAGCATGTATTTTAGCATGGCTGCAATGCTGTATTGACCAATCAGCAAGCAGGAATGGAAATTTCAATTTTATACATTTTAATCGATTTAGCAACTAGAAACTGTTTGACAGTCTTTTTTTATCACTTCTGGACACTTTAGCATCTCAGTCGGTGATGGCTTTTAACATTGACCCCGTTTCCTGGAAAACCTTCACTGCACCTTCACCTTCACAGAGACAAAATGTTGCCTTTGGCTATAAGGTGATACAGAAAGACGCATCAAGGTGAGAGCAACATAACCACTGATAATGAAAAAACAAAACGCCCTTCTAAGACAGGAAGAACAAAAAAACAACCACAGTTTTGTAGCCTTTAGGCGAGGGAGGCTCCATTGCACATAGCGAACAATTATACTGGTTATCAAAATATTTATTGAAAGTTTGTGTTTCTTCTGAATTTTCATTGTTGAATTGTTTATTTGAACTTACATTACAGATAATGAGAGAGTCCATATTTTGATGCGCTGTAGACAGAACTGTGATTGAATTAGTTACTTATCTTAAATCTTAATGATTTAAAAGGGGGTTTATACTGAATATTCTCTGTAAAATTCTAGGATGTGTTGAATTAATAATGTTGATTTGTTGCTTTGCCTGTTTTTGATGTGCACGATGCCTCCTGCTATTTAAAGGCCATTTAGTATAGCGATGCTATTCTGATTGGCTCTCGTTTGAACTTGCGTCGCACCGCATCAGCCAATTACATCAATCCACATTGATGCGGAAAGCTTTAGGCTCCAATCTGTCTGAGAGTTTCCACCATGATAAAAATGTGTTACAGTGTGCAGTGCTGAAAAAAGAAAAAAAAAAAGAAAAAAAAAAGAAATCTGTCTTTAAGCTCAGAACAATCTCAAAGTAAAAAGAGGCGCTAAAGTGTGATTTAATGGTGGCTTTGCTTTAAAATTAAATGATTATTAATTCAAGTGATGAAGGATTTTGAAAGTCTGACAGTAATCAGTGTTGAGTACTGGTTAACCCTGCATGGTTTAAGTGTTTGAAAATGATTAACAGTTGAAAACCTTTGTTAGAAATTTAAAAAAGTAATAAAAAAGTACTCAAATATTATAAGTTGTATTGCTTTAATAAAGTAATTGAAATAGTGGCACTACTTATTACATTTCAACCCTCTGGTGCTCCTCATTTGGGAGTCACGCTTGTTATCTTCGAACTTCCTCCACGCAGTAAAACCAATGTAATTTATTTTTGTTCAATAATATTTTTTTATTTTGTATTTTGAGAGGACTTTAAGGTACTTATTAATATTTATGCAATAATTATGGGGTTTTTTTGCCATTGAAAATAATACAAAAAAGGTTTTTCAAATTTTTTTACAAATATTTTTTTCAAATAATGCAGTATTTCAGATTAATATAGAGACTAGGCCTTTTAAATCTAATTTAAGTCAGATAAGTGCCATCTGTTAAGAGAAAATAAAATAAAACATGTAATTTCATGGTGTTACCTCTAGATGCCTGTCTACTTCTCTATGGAGAAGCTTGTGAATTCTCTAGTAGTTTTTGGACAAAATTACTTACTTTTAAGATATGGATTTGAATGTTTTTTTATTTATTCTCAAATAATACTTTTTGTCAAGGTTTATAAAAAAAGTTTTTTTTTTAATGTGAAATGTACGGAGCCCCCCTAGTCCCACTTTGTCAAAAATAATTATTATAACTATCTCGTGGCCTCAAGATAAGTAACTCGTGGCCTCAAGATACTATCTCGTGGCCTCAAGATAGTATCTCGTAGCCTCAAGATAGAGATACTATCTTGAGGCCACGAGATACTATCTTGAGGCTACAAGATACTATCTTGAGGCTACAAGATACTATCTTGAGGCCACGAGTTACTATCTTGAGGATTAGTACTAGTACGATTAGTACTTACCTCTAGATAGTAACTCGTGGCCTCAAGATACTATCTCGTGGCCTCAAGATGAGGCCACGATATACTATCTTTAGGCCACGATATACTATCTTGAGGCCACGATATACTATCTTGAGGCCACGATATACTATCTTGAGGCCACGATATACTATCTTGAGGCCACGATATACTATCTTGAGGCCACGAGATACTATCTTGAGACCACGAGATAGTATCTTGAGGCCACGAGTTACTAATCTTGAGGCCACGAGTTACTTATCTTGAGGCCACGAGATAGTTATAATATTTTTTTTTGACAAAGTGGGACTAGAGGGGCTCCGTAGAAATGTACACATTTTTGCATTATTATTACAGTCAAACCTGAATACAGAGAAAGCATTTTGTTACACTTAAAGCTGCAGTCCGCAGTTTTTCCTCTTTGTCGCCATCTCTGTTCGAAATCTGCAATTGCATTTATTCGCGGAATGATCAACTTTACGTGAGTTGTAGTTCGACACGGCACAGCGCGGATGAACACAATGTTTGAGGATCTGTTTTGCACTATTGATGTTTTAGAATTTCACCCCTTCATTGCTAAGCACTTTTTTTCTGCATCGTGGCCGATTTGTAGAGAATTTTGGTGTTTTTGTCGATTTTCCATTAATTTCCTTCATTTATTAACTATTCCAATATAACCTTCCCAACACTGTCTACCAATGATGAACTGGTCTGACCCCAATCTGAGTGAAGCAATGTCTTTATTTTAAATAACAACAAAAAATCTTTACCTGGAGGATGAAGAAATAACAAATGCAGAAAAACAAGCTATGTAAACATGTAGAGGCACTGGAGATGAAGGATTAAAACAACTCAATGCAAGTGGGCTCAGTGATGCAGATAAGAGAAAGCCTGACACCTTGTGGAATTTCTTTGAAGGACAACTAAAGTTAAATGTGATCTTCAGAATCTACAGGCTCCATCTCATGCAATAAAGACAAAAACCAAAAGAGATCATCGACGACTTCATGACTAGAGCCCGAACTTTAGCACTGCAAATGCTAATTTACCAACGATAAGCTCAATGACCATTTAGTCGAACTTACCATTGCCAGTACTTCTTTCGATGCTTTAAGAATCAACCTAAAGGTCACCCCATTGCCGATATAAGCAGAGGCGCAAAAATACAAAGCCTTCACAGCTGGTAATGAACATATACAACAGCTTGGCATGTCACACCCTGAAATTGTCCACGCTGTAACAAAAGGACAACGTGTCAAAACTGTGACACAAACCACAAGCCAAGGCAGTGCCCTGCATATAATGATATATGCTCTAAGAAGAGCACACAACAGAGACAGCCAGTGCAGAAGAATGAAGTCATGAATATGCAACAGATGCCAAAGCCACACTAACCCATGGAAGGACAACAAACACAAAGATGAGCTCAGAATTAACATTGTAGACCACACTAAAGACAATTAGTATACATGCCAAAAACAATTTCACTCCATCAACATCAGGGCAAAATGCATGAATAGCATCGATGTGAAACCACCCAGAGATGAGGCATCCCCTGCTTTGGAGCCATCAACATGCCATTACAAAAAGTGCGATGGATAAATGCAAAGTTCTATGTCGTTGACGTATCTGGACCAGCTGTGGTTGGACTACCCAAGTGAGCTCCTCAGCTTTGTGACAGTAAATGTTGATTCGATGGCTGAAAAAGAAAACAATGGACATTAGGGAAAACAAACAAAAGAGAGTATCCGACAACACAGTTTTTAAAAATTAAATTGGGAGGTTCAATGGCACAGTAAAGCTCATCCTAAAGGAAGGTGCCAATCTATTCGTCGACCCACCATTCAAATGCAGTATCACGTCAAGAACAAACTTGTTGATCAAGGAGTCCTGCGAAAAGTGGAAGTGCACACAGATTGGTGGTTTAGTCTTGCCTTCAGCACAAAGAAAGAAGGATCACTTCGAATCTGCCTAGACACACATCCTAAATGCAACTTAACCCAAAATTTGCAAATGTAAAAGTTTTCAGCAAGCTAGACACAAAAGCCGGAACCTTGTCGATAAATCTTGACAGGGAGTCACAAATTCTAACTAAGTTCCATACTCCTTTTGACAGATACTGCTAGAGACGCTTTACATTTGGTTTCAGTTTGTCCCAAGACCATTTCCATGTGTATGTGGGGCTGACGAGGGATCATGACAGGAATCTGATGAGCCTAATGGTAAGAGCTGGAAACAGGTCTGGTGTTTAACAGTGACAAGCGTATCATCAAGCAACAGAGCATATCCTTCTTTGGCAACCTGTACACAGACAAAGGCATTAGGCCAGACCCAGCCAAAGTCCACGATATGCAAAAAATGCTAACACCACAACGCAAAGGTGACCTTCATTGATTCATGAGCATGCTAAACTACCGGTAACCCTACATACCAAAGTTTGTGGATAAAGCCCACAATCTGAGAGGATTACTGAAAAGTGACTCACAATGGATATGGGACACTGAGTATTTGAAATGCTTCAATGACCCAAAGACAACAGTGTCAGTTGATGCTTGCTTAACGTAATACAATCCAGCAACCACCCTCACAGTGGAGGTAGACTCTCAGAACTGAGACTGCAAAAGACCCCAAGCTCAGTGCACTAATAGAAATCATCCATCAGAGATGGCCAGACAGAATTCTAGACCTGCCAAAAGACCTACGCAGCTAATGGCCTTTCCGAGATGAGCTTATAGAAGCAGGAGTTGTATTTGAGGGCAGACAAGTGCTTATCCATGCTAACCCATGAACAATGCAATGACATTCTGACTCAAGTCCACGCAGCCCACCAAGGTATCAAAAAAAAAAACATGCAGGTTGGCTTGAGAAAATATATATTGGACAAAGATAAACACAGACATTGACCTGTAATGCTCCGTGAATAATAATCTGTTTGTTTGTTGGCTAGAGGAGAACTGATCAACTGAGCCTGGTTCCTCCCAAGGTTTTTTTTTCTCTCTATTCTGTCACCTGAGGGAGTTCCTTGCCACTGTCGCCTTTGGCTTTTGGCTTGCTTAGTTGGGGACATTTAATATTGAACAGTATTATTGATCTGCCTGCATCGACAACATTATAGGAGAACTGAACTGAGATGGACGATGACATCACTGTTTTCTCCAGAGCGGATATATATATATATATATATATATATATATATATATATATATATATATATATATATATATATAT